AGTCACTGGCAGGGTTGGCCAGACTTGCAGGAACGCAGTGGCTCACGGGTGGTTCGGTGGAAAACGAAGTTGGCTCAAGTTGGCTCACGGCAGGCTCAGTGATGGGGGCGCGGCGTGGGGTGCGGCTTGGACCAGAGTGGCTTTGGGTGGAAGCCACGGGTTGGCTAAGGATGCATGGCCAGGGGCGCGTGGCAGTTACCAGGCGGGCAGTGCCATTTGAAATTCAAAAGGGCGGTTGGCTTTTGAATTTGAACCAGGGGCGGTTTGGCATTGGTGTCCCTTCGTGAAGGGTCGTGTCTGGCTAGATGGTTGGCCTGTAACCATCACGTTTTTGCCTATATATATGACTGCCCATGGCATGTGTTGGCCAAGCGAGACAAGGGCTAAAAACAGAGTTGTTTGGCTGTTCCTTTATATTATACGAGTCTAATACAAAGTTGGTTGTTTACCGTAAATTTGTGTTCGTTGTGTTCTTGAATATATTCTGTCCCTAAGAAAAGTTAAGGCTGACTATTTTGTGAGACAAAATAGGCCGTACGGGTTTGAAAAACGTGAGTGAAAAATCAGCCCCGTAACAGTTGGTATCAGAGCCTAGTTGTTCCTGATTCTCGAAGATGGAGACCCCGAAGCGCAATGATCCTGAACAGTCGGATGTACAGGATGATGATAAGGATAATGCTGCTGACTTTATTCGGCATCTAATTGGTGAAGAATTAGTTGGAGTGAATAAAAGGCTTCATAGCCTTGGCAAGGCCATGGAAGCGTGTCAGGCAGAGAACAATTCCCTTAAGACGGAACTGTTGATTTTGAAGCAGGCCGTGTCAGCAACGGCAAGGACAAATATGGATGTCGCTCCTTCAAAGATCAAAGTCCCGGAGCCTAAGCACTTTGATGGGGCCAGGAATGCTAAGGAATTGGAGAATTTCTTGTGGGACATGGAAGAATATTTCAAGGCTGCCAAGATCCCGGAAGGGGAGAAGGTTTCGATTGCCCCGATGTACTTGACGGGGGATGCGAAACTTGTTGGAGTTGTGCCCTGATGGCCAACTGTTCATCGTTATCCTATCATGTATAGGCAGATATAATATGTTTACACATCTCATACTAATGTAAACAAATATTATATTCCTAGATTTATATTTAAAAGATGTTTATCAGATAGTGTTATTCTGCTGATGAGACTAACATCTTGAAATAAATATTTATCTAAATGTCCATAGTCGAGTATTAACGAGAGTGGGATATCGTTAGTGCATGTGAGACTAGTGTGTGTTGGATGTTTGACTTAGTCTCATAGTCAATGACGGTGTGTTCGCATCCGCACATGGGCAGATATTATCTAGAGATAATAGGATGCCGGACTGACCCATCCTAAAGATGTTGCTTGAACTTTTAGTTCATGCTCTAAGCATCTTTAGCGCGACCACGGGTGTAACTATCTTTGACTTGAAGTATTACGTTTTCTGCATATGTGAACCCGCATGCTTTGATGCATTGTCCTAAGCCATATGAAATAAGGATGGTATACAGGCTTTGTTTTGGGTATGCCGCAGCGCGTATTCAGAAACGTAGATTACGTACATAGGATTTGTCACTACTCTTTTTTAAAGAGATTAATGTCTTATGGGGCCCACTGATAAGTTATGACTAAGGAAATTGCATGGCCATGCTGAGATGCTTTTATGACGTCTGTTCCTATTAGTCAGACTTGATAAATCAGTGAATGACTTAATGGATACAAG